AGAAAGAGCGTGATCGATGAGATACAACTTTGCTATCATTAAATTAAGCGCAAATTACTCTCCCTCTGTCCAATATGTTGTAGGTCGCACGGCGGACAGCGTCGGAATCTATGGCCGAACTTCCAGGTACCGCAGCGCCCCTACGGGTACCGAATGTTGTAGAGACAGTAGCGGAGCTGCTGTCTGATAGTGGCAATAAAACAATGACTAGTCCAAATATGGTTCAAATCATGTTTTAAGTAGGCGGTTTAAAGGTCTAAGAGAGTATGAAGAAACTCGAGGCAGTGCTTAATTGCGAAACGACGTCCTACTGAACGTGGCTCCCTGCAAGAACAGAATATTTTCGTCTCGTTAACTGTCAGCAGTTTCTGTAGCTTTTGAAATCAGAATATTTTCTTTCTGCTCGTTTTGTATCCAAATTTCCTGCGGCATATGACTGCTGGCGGTGATTTTATAAATACTTTACAATTGTTAAAAATTCGATTGAAAAGGTTGCTGAGAATGAGTGTAAAGAGGGCCTTTAAATACCAAAATCAATGTTGTTTACTCTACTTTATTCATAAGTAGGTTCAATAAGTCCTTAATACTGTGAAAAAATATGGTTAAAAAGGATATTAAAATATTTTTGGGTGTGAACTTGAAGATTTCTAGGAAGCTGATCGTTTATTTATATTTTTCAGGGTTACGTCGCCAAATTTGGGATCTCCGGAAATTTGGTATTTTTCACCGGCTCGAATACCAACATTCTGCGAATAATTGACATGGAAAACATGGCTGTACGTAACATATTTAATTTGGAGCTTTATTATCGCTATCCCAGTGTACTACCCTTAAAATGGGTTCCTGTTTGGGGTGACTACTGCATGAAATACCAGAAGAGGCTTCCTGCTGAATATCAAATTATTGTTCGTTTTTTAGAAACTCAAGTTTTAAATAGCATTTCAAGTGCTTTTAGTGCGCATATTTTCTTCGAGCGTCAAAGTCCAGGTGGGTTGCCATGCATACAACTTAACTCACGGTTTGCACTGCACTGTTTGACAAAAACCATTAGAATGAATTGAACCGATTGAACCTTTACATATTTCATTCTCAAAGACAAATGCTTTTGCTTTCTGACTGCTCGTGGCTTGTAGCCATAAATCACTGCACTATCCATTGATCTACTGGTGCTTTTCCTTCAGCTTCAGGGCATACCATGCATTCACAATAAATCCTTATAGCCCATTTTAAATAAGTCTGAAACGTCCTTGAACTCCGAAGAGTATTAAAAAATCTACCGTTCTCTTTACAAACTAAGTGATAGGCCCACTTTACGGTTTACTACAACCAAATCATATGGGTTACGATTATTGTTAATTACTAGTACCCTGTTGCGGATATTTTACTTTGGAATCATTATTTACCAATATAAAAAACAACTTAAATTGCAGAACAATTACTCCAACAAGTTAAATTCTAAATTAAGTCCAGAATCCCGGTAGCTCTATTCATAGGGATCTATTAGATATATACTAGATATCTCTTTCTACAAAGGTAGGGGTGGCCGAAATATTTATATTTTATCAAGCCTTTGCGGCTTATATTCTAACTCTTGGAAAAGATATAGTCTTTATATTGTCCTTTTCTACATTGTAGACTATTGCCGGAGTCAATAACTTACCAAACGCAGTTTACAGCCTGGACACATGCTTTGACCGAGTTGACAAAAGAAAGTGCATGGTGATTTTTACGAACAAAGCGAATATTTATAAAACCTCTTTCAACTCTCGCGCCATTAGCATGTTAGCTGATTAAAATCACTGATACATACCCATATGTTTTAAAGTAGTCTGTTCTATTAAAAGGTACCTCGAGATCCGTGAATTTGCGAATAAAGATTTTGATATCTATTTTTCAACTCTCGAGCTGGCGTCTGACAGTTGATTATTGACGAAGTCCTAGACAGCATGTGGCAAACCCAAATATCAAACCCTTATAAGCATGAGTAGGTGAGGACTTACATATCTTAATCTTTTTCCAAAATATGGTCCACAATCACTTTCACTTGGCGTGTGTTAGCCACCGGGTCTGTTTAAAACACAAGATCCTGGGAGTATTGTTCGAAATTAAATCTCGATAACGATTTTCCTGGTCTTCTTTCGATGTTTTTTCAGGATGCGAGAGTAAACACACTCATGTTTATTTCCAGGGCAAATCACGAGGTAACTCGACCAGTGATGGCCTACATAAGCTATTAGCACATCGGCTTATGATAAATTTTCCCATCCCACAGAGGCAAAACAGCTAATTAATACGAGCTTAACAGTCCCTTAACTGCCTACCGTGGGTCTCAGAATAGTTATTGGCATCATGCTGCAGAGGCACGGCATAGCCCTCAAACGCCAAGGTTTCTACTTTTTGCCAACATTTGATCTATGGCTGAGTTGTTATAATTGGGACACACAAATTAATAACTACATCAAAGGCATGAATTTAACATGTCAGTTACTATTTCAAAGATTGTCAACTTCTTTTGAATGATCAAATGTTATTAAAACGTTTGGGTGCAGGAGCATGGAATTTAACAGCACATTTTCTGTTAGTTTCAGTTGAAAAGCGTTCATGGTCTATGAACAAACAATGTTGCTGATATGGCTAAAAATGTATTAGTCCTGCAGAGTGATTAAGCGCCCCTTTCAGGCATCTTAACAACATAAATTAAGTGTGTGGGCAACTAAAAGAGCAAGTACTGTACAAGCTAAGTTGTATTCTTTACAGAACTTTAGTGCAAGGTTATGCTTCTCGATAACCTATCAGATTATCTATTTTGATATCTTTAAACCATACGACGGCATGTTCCCAATTTAAATTCGATACACGACCGCAATATCTCATACCCAGGATAGAAAACGACTAAATTCAGCCCCTAATGCTCGGTGCAGCATTCTGTCGAGCCAGAAGATATCGCTATCTCCCAATACGTCATAAA